GTAGGAGGGGCATTCGGGTTCGTCGGAATGCGAACCGTGTGCAGGTTTGTGAGTCCACAGTCCAGGGAGTCCCTGGATAAGACGGACTGAAACTCGTAGAACAGGCTTCTAAGCTCTGCTCTCTGCTCCTCTGACTCCAGCGCATCCGCTTTGTCAAGCTGCTGGCTGACTTCGGCCTCGAAGCCGTCATAAGGTTCAGAGGAGGAGGGTCTCTGATGTTCCGGGCTTTCAACCGGTGACTCAGAGGGTTGAGTATTTATTGCAAAAACCGTTAGACACTGACCGCCGTCAGTATCTAAGGTTGCACTGCAAATGGGTTCCTCAGGAAGGGCTTCATGCCGCTTGATGGTAATCATTTGTGAAGGGAAAGTACTGAATGTGTCTGCACCAACCTGTCTGTCATTCAAGAACAACGGAAGTTGTCCGATCACGGGGACTGAAAGTTCGAAGTCATGGAATGAGCTATCTATCAGCATGCCCAAGGGCTTTCCTGCCGGCATGTGGATAGGACTCCGGGTCGGATTTTCGACCAACAAGTAGGCAGAACGATTGTTCAGCTCCAAGAGTGGCGTGCCACAGACGGCTAAGTTGAGCTCCAAGAAGTGTGGTGATGGCTGGAAGAAGGCCTGTGTGCCTGGCAGCTTCTGATGCTTCATCAGAGTCAGACGAACAGGCACTCCTTTGACCAGTGGGGGCAGAACCGTGCTGGCCTCAACCACTGCACGGCAGGCCTGTGGAATGGTCTGTCCGGACAGCAAGTGTTCACGGCCTTCTGAGCCAGGCTCAGAGGATGGTGTGGCCCGGGCCCAAAGGACTTGATTGCAAGTGTCCAGCTGGGCACCTAGTCGAACCAGCAGATCTGCTCCAATGAGTGCAGGTGGATCAAGCTGTGGTATGATGCTGAATGTATGTGTGAGCTGTCTTGCTCCAAGTTGGATAGTCAGAGAGCAGACCTCTGGCGCTTTCAGGAGCCTCTGCGGCCAAGTAGGTGACAAGAGCCGATGGCTACGTGTCACACTGACCAGAAGGGGGTCCTTCTGACGCAGGTGTTCAAACGTCTGCTGGCTGATGGCTGACTTTTCAGACCAAAGAGCAAGGCGAGCATCTGAGATGTGGGTGCAGTTGATGGTAAGACCACCAACTATGTGTGGTGCATATGGCTGCAGGCTGACGTTCTTCAGCGAGCAGAGAAAAGATGAATGTGTGCGGAACGGAGTTCCAGGAGCGGTTTCATGCCTTTGCAGGCGGTCATCGTCTGTGGGAGCCATAGGGAGGGGCATGACCTTGGAACAAGGGTTTTGCGGCTCACTTATGCTGACTTCAAGAATGGAGGATGGTCGGCTGCTATCCGGGTTCCAGGGCTTAGGTGTTTCCACCTGGGCCCACAGTTGACCCTTCTGGCAGTCGATGAGGGGAGCTAGACGTTCAAGCAGGTCCTGACCAACGAGAAGTGGTTCAGTGTCTAGCTGGCAGACATAAAACGGGTGAACCAGAGTCATGTCTTGGAAGGTGATATCCAGCCACGCCCGGTGAGTGATACACTCCCGGGTCTGGGTGTAGCTGGTGATTTTCAGGTCACAGGGCTCTACCTGGACTGGTTTCCCGAGTGACCGCATGGTGTCAGACACGCGATGGAATAATGTGGAGCACATCAGGGTGATTTCTGAGCCGGTATCCAGCAGGGCATCAACCTGTATGCATCCACCTACGTTGGTGCTACAGTACAAACGGCGAGCATGATCATGGTTTGTTAAGTCACCAAGGAACTTCAGAAATTTAGCATCAGGTTTCTCTGGGGGGTAGATTTCAGGAGACTCCTGTGATCTACCAGAAGTGTTCCCCCAGCTGATCAGGTAGGTCCTGGCCACGCTGGGAGGTTGAGCCACGCCTAGTCATGCGGACGTTGGCTCTGGGTCTGGCTTCTTAGAAGCAGACTTTGGTGCAGGGGTCTCATCTGCAGATCTCAGCTGTTCCTTCTGTTTAGCTAGGAACTGCTGAAACATCTCCTGGACGTCGGCTTTGGTCAAGTACTCACCTGCGGACTCGTGTTCGGGACCTACCTGTGGGCGGCGCTCCTTAAACCTTCCACTGTTCCTACCTGCCTGCCGTTGGTTTTGGTTGGGCCACTTCCTGTCTGATTGTCCAGACCTAGGCGGCCAATCAGCACCCCCCTTCCCCTGTTGAGGAGATTGGGACTGCTCTCGCGGTTTAACAGGTCTAGGTTTAGCAGATTTTGGCTTAGTGGGTGGAGCTTCTGTGCCTTCAAGCTCCAAACGCGGCTCAGCGTCGGGAGCTAGGTGCATGACGCGGTGATGTGCGTCAGGCTTTTGGGGCTTTCCGCCGGCTTCCCAAGCCTGTTGAGCGTATCTCCTAATCTCCTGAGTTGTCAGTTTTTTCATCCGACAATACATTGAGACTTCGGATCGAACACACTCGTGCAGGTTGTGAATGAACAGGGATCTGAAGGCATGGTCTTCCTCGAGCCCAGGGCCGTTTCGACCTTGGAAATAAGCACTTTTGAGTCGGCGATAATACTCTCTGGGGGGTTCGTTTCTCCCGTGTTTGATGGAGAAGGCCCCCATTGTAGCTGACGCAGAGTCTGCATACGTGGCGTATTCATCTCTCAACGCTCGGCAGAGCGAGGAGTACCGATCTCGAATGTCAGATGGTAGAGTTTCCATGAAACCGTGCACCGTTCTAGATGTGGTTTTCCAAATTAGCTTGAGCTTTTCCCTTGAAGAGGGTGCTGGAAGATCAAGCAGACAACGTTCTATCTCCCTGAGATAATCGTCGACGTTGGATTCATTGGTGTTAGGATCAAAGCGTTCTATGTCTTTAGCTAGCGATTCAATTTGACGTACACGGAGCCCTGACTCACGGTACGGCGCGTCATCCTCTGACTCTGACCCACGGTCTGTCTCAGAGGGCGCTGGATATCGCTGGTGTGCTCTGGGCTCCCAATGTTGACTCCTGGGGCCCAAATCGGGGTTCGGCATGTTGTGGCGGGCTGCTGGCACGTCACGTGGGTGTCTTGGGAGGTCCTCCTCCCGGGGCACGTCTGCGTAGTGCAGCCTGCGTCTTTCAACTGGGGCTTCTGCGTAATACACTTTGTCCGGATACGGACTGGCGTATGATGCTTTGTCCTGCAGCTGGTTATCGGCATGCCGAATACCGGAGTAGCTAGGATGGGTGGATGGTTGAGGTGCAGCTTGGGGTGCATAACCCCAATCGGCACCTTGCACCCTTTGTGGACTGGGGGAGCGGTCTAAATAGAGGTGCCGCTCAGCTGGTCGACTTCTCACTGATTGAGAAGGCCGTGAAGATGAGGGTGGTGGTCCAACCTGGGGTTCGAGGGCGAACTGCCCTCGGCCCCTAGATGGTCCTGAATGCCCTATAGTGTGTGTAGGGAACGGGGCCGAAGGTTGGAACAGATGAGCTTCATCTCTCCCCTGCGGCGTGCGTCCGTCCAGAGAGTCCTGGTGTTTCCCCCCTTCCCACTGTCTGTTGTCATCAGCAGAAGGGGGCGGGGTCTCCTCCCCATCTTCCCCAGAATCGGTGCGGGTGTCGTCTTCCTCGATCAGCCTTCCATTTCGCTGTTTTTCAGCTAGCATACTCTGGAGGTTCATGATCTTCTGACCACGTTGGAGTCCTCTCTGATAGAGGATCAGGGCTAACTTAGCTAAGTGAACCTGGATTGGTTTTGTACCATCCGGGTTTTCTATTTGATCAATTACAGCTTCTAGCTCGTCGCTACGCTGTTCTTCAGTGAAATCCCTAGAAGGGTAGTCGGGTTCTCGAGCAACCGCGACCAGTTTGGACAATATTTGTCCAGAAAGTAGGCCAGGTTCATAGTCGTGGGCCGCAGCGCCACCTGGTTGCTGGGAGTTGGTCAGTTCACTACTCTGTCCCTCCATTTTTAACAACCGAACCAAAAATAGCCTAGTAGAGCTTCTGCAGATAGCTCAAGCTGCACCTTTTGGGCAGCAACTGCTAGCTTTGTAGCAGAAAAACACTAAATTAACCTTTGTGCGCACAGGTTTTAGCGTTTTAAGATTGCACGGAATGCCGTGACTGACGCTTAAAATACTATTCCTTTCAGTATTTTAGCAAAAGCTGGTGCGTTGCCGTAGCAACGTCTTACAACACTTGCAGTGTTAAATATGCTAGTTATTCCTTCAGAATATTAGCAAACAGGGTGTTATCAGTCTTTGAGTGAAGGTTTCAGTTAGTTACAATAGCCACTGTGAGTTAAAGTCGCTAAATTAGCAGTTAATTTTAGCCTAAAAGGGTTAGTCAGAATTACTTACACGCTGCACCTTTAATGAGGAACTGAATTTTAACCTAAAAGGTTAGCCAGAATTAATTACACGTTGCACCTTTAAGGAAAACTGAATTTTAACCTAAAAGGTTAGCCAGAATTAATTACACGTTGCACCTTTAAGGAAAAGCTGAATTTTAACCTAAAAGGTTAGCCAGAATTAATTACACGTTGCACCTTTAAGGAAAACTGAATTTTTAACCTAAAAGGTCAACCAGAATTAATTTACACGTTGCACCTTTAAAGAAGCACTGAGTTACTGGTGAGAGTTCGATGCAGCTTCCTGCTCAGCGAAATCAGCACCACTCTGTTGCTGGTTCAAGGCTGAACAACTGATTATTTTTAATTCAAGCTCTTTGGATTTATTTGTTTGTTTGTGCCGGATAGAAATCTCTGTGTATCCAAGCCTCACACGGGCTGCACCAATAAAATGTTGGGGTTATTAGGAGCGAACAATTAGTAAGCTTCAACTTACTTTTGGATTCTTCAATAAATTCTGTAAATATGGGAATATTTACTGATTTATTAATTAATTAAGATATTCTTAGATATACGGGGCACCATTCCCCTTTTTCCGGGGAAAAATTGAATCCAAAACTCTTATCAGTCTTTCTTGAAGTTCGTAGAATCCTTGGAGCAGAGACTTCTCTTCGACACAACAAAGCTACTGGAGACGAAAATCTGAATTTTATAACGTTTAATTAACAATTTGTCAAATGAATAAACAGTGGCATAAATGAATAATAACCATGTGATATAATAAAAGGATGTATATTCAAAATAATGTTCAAGGTGTTTTGTGTGTATGTAGGATGTAGGAATGGGGTCCTTTGTTCTCACAAAGGAGTAGTGTGTGTGCGTGTGTATGGATTCAAAATGGAGTCTTGACTACAAGATGGCTGACTCCTTTGTCTGGCTAAAGTGTGGGTGGCAACTTGCACTTTAACTTCCAAAGCACTTAGAATCAGTAGTAACTTAACCTTAAATCACTCAAAACATTTCAAAGGATCATGCAACAACACAAAAGATTAATCACGAGTTAATATCCTTAGTTTATCAGCCTGGCCATGGCCGAACATTTAAAGATACCAAACAATGATTAATAAGCAGTTTATTCTTCAAAATGACCCGACGGACGTGTTTGGGACGAAAGAGGAAAACACGAAGCTACTTTTTAAGCAATAGACGCGGTTTATTGCTTATTCGAGACTATAGAGGAAACGGGAGAAGGAAAGAATGAGAGAAAGAGATGAGTTTCTGATCACCAGAACAGTGAAGCGTCCCTCACTGTTTTGATTTGACGGTTCTCCGTGTTTCTCCGCAGCTTTCAGCGTCATCCGCCGGTTTGATGCTTTCTCCGTTGTTTGGCTCCACGAGTGTTTCTCCACGGCTGGACACAAAGAAAACGAAGTTCCTTTTGGGCTGAGTTTGACAACTTACAGCGTTTCTGAGAGCTGGATGGAGTTGTTGTTTCCCTCCGCAGTTCTGTGTCCTCAAACATCAGCTGGAGGGGAGCAGAAACGAGCAGATCAGCGGTCCCGTGGGCTCAACTTGGCTCTTAGAGCTTCCGCGTGCTCAAAGAAGTCGGAGCGTTCGACAAGCGTGTCCTCACCGCCAGGTATCCTGGGCAAAAGAACGAGGTTTCTTTGTCTCTGCTGAAGATTTATGGTCTTAGTTCGCGGGGAAAGCTCCACGGCTTCCCGCACATGCGCAGAACGTGTTTCTGGTACTAGGCGGTGACATCATCCCAATGCTTCCGTGTGCAAAGCATCATGGGAAATGAAGTTTCTTGGCGCTGATGTGATTATTTGCTTTTCAGAGCAATTTAAGCACAGTCATTTTGGAGAAAATCACTGCATAGTAATTTCCTCATGAGGTCAGACCCTCAACACACGCTTCTTGCGTTTTAGCTCATTTGGGATTTGTGGCTTCAGTTGAGGTATTATTTCAGCCTTTCCAATGCTAACCAGCTGCTCCCGATTGTAAACCAGCTTGTTGCCATGGTTACGCATCATAACAAATGCTCAAAAAGTGAAAAAATAGCAGTAAAAATCCTCCAAGCTTCACAGCACCAGACACAGAAAAGTAAAATGTCAAAAAAATACAGTTTTTCTTGATAAACTAGAAGAAATGTCCAAAAAAAGGCAAAACTTACATCTAGTCAACAAAGCTACTCCAACATGCAGCCACCCAGAGCAGCGCGGTTCCGGAATGATCAGATATCAGATCAAACAAACCACAGCGAGGAGTGCACTTAAACAAGTTAACACCAGAAATAAAAAACAACTTTATAACAACACAGGTTGTAGTTAATATCACAACCACAGGGGAGCAGCATCTCTGAGTTCATAAATAACCGAGCCTGTTTCATGTTGTGGTTTCGGCGGCTTCTGGCCTGATGCAGCCATTTGCCAAATAGTCCATCTCACAGATCAGATAAGAGCCGCCTGTGAGTCTGGTCGCCACCTCAGGAACGGGGTTTCTCAGAAAGTCGGTCAGGAAGCTGAATTCTTGCAGTTGAATTTTCTCTGCCGCCTCCCTCTGATCGATGTCTCCTCCTTTCTGAGGAGAGCAGCAGTTATCGTCGCGCAGGCTGTCCCGTGCAGCATAAACCCCGTCACCGTGACGATAAGACGGCTCATCTGTGATCGGTCCGGTCTCAAAAGCCACATCTGGACCGACGTGTGACGTCTTACCGGGGCTGCTGGTTGACAGGAGAGACGAGTCTTCTGATGAAGTCCGACTCTTTGGGCTGAGGAGGATGAGGCTCTTGTTTCCAACAACATCCGTTACCTCAAAGTCTCTGATCTTCAGGATGCTCCTCTCGAAGCGTTTCTGTGGAGCAAACAGCTGATTAAACACGTTATGATCCCGTAGTTGTTGTTCAGCGCTCTAATCTAAAGGTTAAAGGTCAGAGTACCTTTGGTTCTGGGCTCATCAGCCACTGGCCCGTGGTGCTGAGTCGTGGGCTGGAGACGGGTGGGAAGAAGTGTGACTTGTATCTGCAGCAAAAACAAGAAATCATCATTGGACTTCCGGTTCTGGTTCAGGTTTCACCTCTCGGCTGGAAGAATGAACATTTTTCGTTTGCCGTTTGTGATATTTTTGGAAAATTGAAGCTCCATCAAACAACAAGATGGATCATTTATCACGTGTTAAGTTCTGACCTCTGATGTAAATCATGGTTTAGAATATTTGGTGTTTTTATGAGCTTATCAACAAGTTTATCATCAAAATAAGTCAGAAAAACTTCTAAAAACTGGGAATTTGGAATCTCAACGATTAATAAATGATCTAATGTCTCATTTAAACTTAGTTTCTGTGCAGTAAACAGGTTGTTTATCCATCCGTGTGAATTCTAAAGGGTTTATAAGCACAAAGGGTCTCACGCGGTCCGCGACAGGATGGAGATGACGATGACGGCGACGGCCAGCAGCAGGACCGGAGCCGCCGTCGCCACCACAGGAACCTCGTCTGGAGAAAAAAATAATAAAAAATCTGTTATTTTCCCCAAAGTTCCAGATTAAAAGTCAGAACTGACACCCACAGATCCTCACCATAATGCGTTGTCACGGTAACGGTGCTTTTCGCAGCGCCGTCGGCCAACAAGAGAAGCGAGTACTCGGTGTTGGGCGTCAGGTTGAAGAAGGTGTGCTGCCGCTGGTCCGGCCATAAAGGCACAGCTGGAAACAGAAAAATGTAGTTTGTGCGGATCTGAAATGATTCGTATTTCATATACGTGACCTTTGACCCTTTGGTCTTTTTGGCAGCTTTTCCGCCCAGAGATATAAAAGGCTCCTAGACTAAACGCTGGCTTTAAAGAAAGGAGGAACAAATTATTCACTCCGTGTGTCCGAGTCGCTCCTCAGCATCACTCTGTATCCCTTCACTCTGATTGGCTTAGACTTCCGTTGCCATGCCCACATTATGGTCACCGCCGTTTTATTCGTGCCGACGACCTTCAGATCGACGGCCTCCATCAGAGCTGAGAACGCAAAACAAAAGCTTGCTGTGTGGAGGGTTTTGAGTCACTGGTGGTGGTTTCTGGGCTCAGCTTTACCTCCCAGCTGCAGGCTGGCTGCCAGAGCCTGAGGAGGTCCACACTGCTGGTGGAACACAGGAAATACGCTCACCAGGTAGGACTCATCAGGGTCCACATCTGCAAAAATAAGGTGTGAGGGGTCAGTAGAGGACAAACACGGAATTACGGATTACTGTAATTCATTACTCTCAGGAAGTCCACAGAATGTAGTTAAAAGTCTTCAGCTTGTCCAAAATGCTGCAGCTAGAGTTCTGATGAGAATTACAAAGAGAGATCATATCTCTCCTGTCTTAGCTTCCCTACATTGGCTGCCTGTTAAATTCAGAATAGATTTTAAGATCCTTCTTCTCACATATAAAGCTCTTAATAATCAAGCTCCTTCATAGATCAGTGATCTGATTGTTCCATGCGTTCCTAACCGAGCACTTCGCTCTCAGACTGCAGGTTTACTGGTGGTTCCCAGAATATCTAAAATTAGGATGGGAGGCAGATCTTTTAGTTATCAGGCTCCTCTCCTGTGGAACCAGCTCCCAGCCTTAGTCCGTGAGGCAGACACCTTGTCTACTTTTAAGAATAGGCTTAAAACATTTTTATTTGATAGGGCCTGTGCTGACACTTCCTGTTGTCAGCCAGCTGGGTGAGGGCGGAGGCGGCTTCTGACGCGCTTCTATTCATAAATCAAAACCTCTTTTTGTCTGTGCGTTAGTCTTGTTTATTTTCTTTTACAAGCGTTAGCTGGCGTTTTACATGATGCGGTTCCAAGTGCTCCCAGTTGATCGTCACAAAAGGAAGTATATTGTCATGGTGTCGCGAGCGGTAAAAACCGTATGCTCATCCCGCCACCCATGCGTAATCATCTTCCCAAAACACCTGAGGACCCACTTAAATCACATGTGACGCACCCAACACCACCACCACCACAGATGAAAGCCCAACCCACAAAATAAACGGCTCCTACAGGGCCTATGGTTAAAATCTGATGTTAGCCTAAATCTGGACAAGTGGGGGAGTAGAGGGAGGTGGAGTGTACAGTCGGTAAAGACGGCTCTCCCTTGCCCTGCCTCCAACATGCCTCCATCTAAAAGGCTAGGTTATCCAGAGTTATCTCTGTAGTTATGCTGCTATAGGCTTAGACTGCTGGAGGATACACTGACCACTTTTCACACTCTACTACTTTCTTCTACAGTCTGCTCTTTAACTGTATTATTTCCTGCTATTTCAGCTGTTAACTTTATTTTCTCTCTAAGTGTTTTTCTCCCCAGAAGAAGCTACAACGATGTTCTGCTGAGCTGTGGTGGCCTCATGGAGGGGGCCATCGTCTAGCACACTGCTGCTAACCACTTAAACATTCTCCCTCTCCTGATAATAACGTTTTGTTTCCTTGACTTTGGATGTGCTACTACTACTTTACCCGTTTAATTATAGATCCACTAGGATAAATACAATAAAGTTTATCTCTCACCAAATAGAATATTTACTAAGAAATCACAATGTAACCATAGAAACACTACTGTGTGTGTGTGTGTGTGTGTGTGTGTGTGTGTGTGTGTGTGTGTGTGTGTGTGTGTGTGTGTGTGTGTGTGTGTGTGTGTGTGTGTGTGTGCTCTGTCTTCTCCATCCCCAGTGAGTCGTGGAGGATGGCTGCTTATACTGAGCCAGGATCCTCTGGAGGTTTCTTCCTGTTAAAAGGGAGTTTTCCTCTCCACTGTCGCTGCATGCTTGATGCTTGCTCAGTATGAGGATTGCTGTAAAGACTCTGACACTAGTCAGTGACTCGATGCAACCTGCTTTGTTCCTTATATAGGAAACCTTTTACTGATTGGCTGAATGACCTGACCTGTATTGGAATGTTTACTGTGTGAAGGTCCTTGAGACGACTCTTGTCGTGATTTGGCGCTTTATAAATAAACTTGAATTGAATGGTAAACAGATTTAGACTTAAAACAGAAACAGCCTCTCTGGACGCACTCGCACCTCGGATGACGGCGGAGGTGACGGCGCTGTCCAATCTGGACCAGCGGCTGGCGGAGGGACGCTTCTCCTCCCTCCACTCCACAGAAACGTGACTGATGGGCGAAGAGGACGAAGACGAGGGAAACGTCCACTGGACCAGAAGGGATTGGTTTCCTGGAAATAAGCTGGAAATCCACAGGTTTCTCACAGAGGGGAGAGCTGCAGGAGACAGAGCAGGAGTCGGTGTGAAAAGCAACATTTCATCGTGAGGAACGAGCCCAAAACAGCAAGAATTCATCGTTTCTGTGTGAAACTTGAACTAAAATAACAGAATTACACATCTGGTCTCATTTCTGTTCTGCCTTCATCTGCAGATGAATACAGATGTGTTCACGCAACAGGAAGAACGTTTGTCAGATGCTTTTCAGTTTCCTCAGTCGACAAAAATCAAACGGACTCAGGATGTTGCAAAACCGAAGGAGTAGAAGATGAAACTGGTTCTCTTTCGTGGTGAAGTGTCGCTGCAGGCGTTTCACTCTCTCGTCTGTTTGCAGCTGGGGTCAAAGGTCAATTTTCAGGGTTCCTGTCCTTAACGGACACTCCATTTTTATTCTGATGCGATTTAAAAAAGAAAAAACATTTTAGGGCGTCTTCACAACTCGTGAACTAAACAGATCATTTGTGCAAAATAAATTTAAAATGTGTGTAAATGTTGGATTCATAAATCAACAGATGAGGTTAAATAATCCTTCAGGAGAAGCTGAACCCAGGGTCAGAATCTGAGTTTTAATAAATAATCTAATCATTAGCTCTGACTTTATACTTCTTCTGCTGACTGATGGGATTATTTCTGCTGACGGACTCTGCGTCAGTAAATCTGTCATCCTGCAGCAGAAAAATGATGAACCTTTGAGGTTTTCTGACATTTCTCCCGCTGCAGGAGGTCAGGAACACTCACTGACGCGCTTTTCAGCAGTGATGTTAAGAAGTGCAGCGGCTCCCAATCCGGCCGTGTTGAAGGCCCGGACCGTCGCGCTGGAGTTCCCCTCCTGCACCTCCAGGACTGCCTCCGTCTCCGTGAGGTTTTGGATCTTCTCGTTTGGATGGACGCTCACCTGGTAACCAAGGATACGACCCCCAGTCTCATCAGGCTCAGGAGCCTAAAAAGGAAAAACTAAAGTTGTACAAAAAACTAAACGTACAAAGTTCCCTTTACCTGCTCGTCTGTAGTTTACCTTCCATTTGAGATGGAGAAGAGGTGTGGAGGAAACCGTTTTCTCCACCCTGTAGCAAACCACGGAGGGCCTGGAAGGTTCTGAAAGAGACGGGTGTTTATTTCACTGAAAAGAACAAAATCACCACGACAAAAGTCGTGATTTTCATCTTTTGCATGATTTAGTATCTGATGAAGGAAGGCCGTTCACTCCTGTCCAGAGTCCTTCCGTTTGCGTCAGAGCTCCAGTCGCTCCAGATGCCGTTCGTCCCTCTGCAGGCCACCGATGCTCTATAAACCTTAAATGGCAGGAGGTTTCTGATCGTGTACGTCAGATTATGACTTGCAGGTGCAGGGAAAGAATCTGCAACCTGAAAGTTGAACAAATTAATTAATTTACTAACATTTAATTTAAAAAAAGACAGAAACACGGTACTAAAAACACTGAAATGAACTACTTTCATCTGTGCAGCTACACAGCTGATGAATGTAGACTTTTACTGACATGGGTCCACATGTGAGTGCTGCTGGGTCTGTGGCGAAGCCGGCAGCGGCCATCATGGCTGCTGTACCATGAAAATGAAACAACAAGAGAGTCTTCGGTGGAGCCAAGAACAGAAACACCCGAAGGCCGAGACGGTTTGTCTGCAGAGACGAGACGATGCACAGGTTTCAGTCAGACCGTACGGAGCTGCATTAGTGCCATTAGCAAGATAAAACCTATGACATCATAACTGCTTTACACACATTAAATAATAACCTTGAGTAATGTGCACACAAGATTGTAACATATAAATACGATGTTTACAAGAGCTTACTAGGCTAGAAAAGTTTCACATAAAATTATAACACGTGCGTGTCAAAAATACTGACACAAGTTGAAAATGAGCATTCAGGCTAACAACCATGTGCATTAATAAATGCACGCACGCTGAGCTGTTTTCTGTGTGCACTAAAATTTGTTAAGTGTGCATGCGTGTGTGTGTGTGTGTGTGTGTGTGTGTGTGTGTGACAGCAAAAATAGCTTTTGTACCAACTTCTGCAGAAGATGAGGTAATTTGAGGTAAATTTAGGTCCTGATTCTTTAGAACGAGCTGTGAGGTCATTGCTTCGCTCCTTGTCGTCAAGATAAAATAAAAAAAACTGCAGCGGTACTTCAGGGTGCTCATAGTTTACATAAATATCGTGGAGAACTGGAATTAAAGGTAAAACGGGGAGAACTGACATGCATTCCACAGATGGACCGTGTGAGGCTGAGACCAGACCTCCAGCCCAGTCCTGAAGTCCTTCACCCTGACCGTCACATTGAGGCCGGCCGCTGGGTTAAAGATGGACCCACAGTGGAAGACGCGATTCTGGCTGAAGATTAAGAGCAAACACAGATGAACAGCGGATGAGTAACGATTATCACATGGATTCATCTGAGGTTTTTACCTGCTGAAGATCAGAGAGGCGTCTGTCTGAAGGTCTGACCCCTGACCCCAGTCACATGACACAGAACTGCCTACGTTTGTGATCTGGTAGGAACAGGACACGTTGAGCGTCCCTGCAGGAAAACAAAGCGGGTCACTCGTGGTGACCTTTGATCCGATGTTTTATTTAAATCCAGGACCTCCAGACCCAAGCCCAGACTCACTCTGTAAAGATAAAGGAGGTCGAAGGTCACAGTCTCCAGGGTTGGTCACACACAAACGCTTGTTTGTCTTACATGGCTTCAGCTGAGTGTTTTTCACCGTCAGTTCTGTTGGATAAAAACACAAAACGGGCCGAGATGATTCACACGCTGGCGCACCGGCGCTGACCTCACCACGGCTACAGCTCACACTCGTTACACGTTTTTAGAAAATCCACCTTAATCCAGTCAGAAATCAGTGAGGCAGAATAAAACTAAAGGGTTGTGTGACTAACGGGTTTCTTTGTAGCTCAAGCATCAATTTCTGAGCATTTTCAAAACTTTTCCTAAAACAAAACCTCGGATTCTTTTTGATCAAATGTTTACATGAATCCATTTTTTATTTCTTTAGCCGATAAATCCTCCCATTCTTCTGCGGTGGAACATCGTTTTTCTCTGCAGGTGTGAGAGGTGCGATGAAAAAAAAAAAAAAACAAGTGCAAACTTTGATCGATAAAAACCGGTGAGTCAGATTAGAGGAGCAGAAATCTGCTGCTGAGAATTCAGATTCATTATTAAAGCAGCTAAAAATGTTGGTTTTAAGGTCAAACTCACCAAAGGAAGACAGAGGGAGGAAGTTCATCAGGGTCCAGATGATCAGAGGAAGTTTATAAGACCAAAAGTGCATTTTTTAGGTCCTAAAGGTCACAAACAGATCAGCTGGTGGTAAAAAGCGCAGCTGGTGCCTCTGGTTTCTGCTCACGGTGACACGACTGCAGCAGACCTCCCAGGCTTCGCTGCTCAGGAAGTAACTTCAGAGCTTTTTACACGTTTTACTTCCTCCCACCAAAAAGAAACTGTGGCTCATTTATAGGAGAAAGTTTGAATAAAGCAAATATTATAAAAAACAATCGCATTAGAGCTGAAACGCTGTTTGAATGCTGAGCAGATTCAGAGATCCTGTACCCAATAAGAGTTAGACCAGTGGGTCCCAGCCCGGGGTCTGTGACCCTCTGAGGGTCTGTTGAGGTTGTGAGGTCACCAAGATTATATTTTTTATAAAACCCCAAAGAACACCCAATTCGAGCTTCGTATACGAGTTATAACTGAGTAGAGTTTCTATTTTAATGTGTTCCATTTTTGGTTCTTTTTCAAACACAGGAAAGGTTTCTCTTTACCTTGCTAACGTTTCGTTTGCCGACAGCAAAACTTCCTCAGGCTGACGCTGATGGTGGCGTCACTTCCTTCTCCTTTTATCCGCGGGCAGCAGAGGACGTTGTCGCCCTCTGCTGTCCGCTCTCCCCTCTCCGACGATGCAGTCCCATGCACGACCCAACGTGTAAACTCCATCGTCCCTGTTCATGGTCCCACATCCACGTCTCCTTATCTCGATAGCTTCTTTTATCCATCTTTTGTATTTCTGCTGTTCGTGTTTATGATCCTTGTGCTGTCCCAGTCCATTACACGGTTTTCTCTTGTGCAGTTATCTGTTACGGCTGACTTCTTTATTGTGCTTTCTGCTTCTTCTTTTGCTGCTCTTGTGTGTTTTCGATTTGCCTCTTTCTCGCACTCCTTTCTATGTTCTATTGTTCGTGTGTTGAGTTGGCGTCTGGTTTCTCCTATGTATGTTTTATTGCAGAGTTTGCATGGGATTTCGTAAACGACTCCACATTTAAGTCCAGCTGGTATTTTGTCTTTTGGGTGCACTAGTCTGTTTCTAACTGTTGTGTATGGTTTTGTTGGTGTGTTTATGTTGTGTTTTTCATTGTTGCTCTTATTTTTTCTGTCATGCCTCTGATGTATGGTAGGGTTATCACTGGTTCTGGTTCTTGTCTTTCTGGGTTTCTGGTTCTTTGCTTGGGTTGATTTTTCTTTAAGTTGTTGTTTTCCTTTGTTTATTTCCCATGTCGGGTATCCGCAGGTCTTTAAAGCGTGTCTGTATTTGTATAGAGCTATCTACAGCCCCCCAAGGCGCTTCACAAGTTATTCACCTGTTCTCCCGCTGGTGGGGATGAGCTACGATGTTGCCACAGGCGCCACCGGTCCCTCCGACCACCAACCAGCAGGCAAGGTGGGTTAAGTGGCTTGCCCAAGGACACAACAGCAGCATTCTCTGGTCGGAGCCGGGATCAAACCTGCAACCTTCCAACAAACCGCTCTGCCCCCTGAGCTACTGCTGTCCCCTATGGGATACGATCTATGGAAGCGCACTGATGGCAGGAAAACAAAAGAAACCTTTGAGATGTGGGCCACAAATATTTCAAGCGGATTTTTTTTCATTAAAAAAAAAACAACTTTTAGAATGAAAAATCATGTAAATTCATCTGTGTTTGGTCTGACATTAGTAAAAATAAATAAATAAAAGATCTAATTTGTGAAAACGTAACATTCTGTTATTTAATGACAGCAGAGCGGCCACTAAAAAGGGCCACAAATGGCCCCCGGGCCACACTCTGCACACCCCTTGGACGCATTTCCACCCCTCAACATCAGTTTTGGGTTTTTAACATCGACCTTCTGACTCAGAACCAAAGAATATTTATATTTATAAACTAAAGTCATCTTCAGGATAAAACATTTGGTTCCATCACTTTTAAAGGGAAACTACGCAACTTTTTTCTTGAGGCAGTCTGTGCTGAAACGTCCCTTTTCAGGGTTAAAGGCCACAGACCTCCGCCACCCTCTGTGGTCAGAACACCGCACTTCGAATAAATAATAATAATAATAATAATGCATTTTATTTAAAAGCGCCTTTCATGGGACACAAGGACACTTTACAGCAATAAAATAACAAAAAAACCAAGTTAAAAACGTGAAAAATCACACACACAGAAGCCTAAGAATACAAACTAGAGCATAAAATCAACGAAGATGGAAAAGGTGACACTAGCAGTACGCAGTCTGAAACAGGCGGGTTTGAGTCCAGACTTAAAGGAGACGAGTCAGAGTTACGGATGGCGTGAGGGAGAGAATTCCAGAGATGGGGAGCAGAGCTGCTGAAGGCTCTGCTCCCCATAGTGCTGACGGAGAGGTGGGACAGAGAGTGATATAGAGGATCTGAGGGAACGGATGGGAGGGATAATGTGAATGAGGTCAGACAGGTATGGGGGGGGGGGGGGGGGGTATGGATAGCTTTAAATGTGAGAAGGAACTTGAAATCTAATGCGTCGTCCAACAGGAAGCTGTTGCAGGACAGGGCTGATACGGTGACTCAGGTTTTGGAAATGATGCATGCAGCAGAGTTCTGGACCAGTTGGAGCTTATGGATGGATCTTTGTGGTGAACCAAAGAGGAGTGAATTGCAGTAGTCGATTCTCGAGGTGAGGAGGCTGTGAACAAGTATGGAAGCAGCAGAGTGCCACTCCAGTCGCTGCTGGAACTAGTAGCGCTGACACGTTAGCATGGTTTGGATCACAAACACAGCTGATTCGTTTGATTTAGTGATGAATCTCTCCTGTAGACACTAATGAAGGCTGAGGAGACATCTCAGCTGTTCGATTAAGATAAGACATGGCGAAGGAGAAGACAAGTTTCACGTTTTGGTTTCACTAACAAACATAAAAACGAGCCAAACTCCTTAGTTTCCCTTTAAAACTTCACAATCAAATGAATTAAAAACAATTTACTGAAAACCCTCGTTTCACTTTTTTTATTTTCTGCCTTCCAAAGCAAAATGTCTATTTTTTTACTTTTCTTATATAAAATGAAAAACATAAGGGAAAAAAACATTTACAAACATCTGGAAATAAGCAAAGAAGCACGAGGAGGAAATGCTGTACAGGAGGACGTTAGCGGGAGTGTTAGCGCAGCGGCTCGAAGGCTAAATGTTAAACCGCTTCCGTCTGTGGAGCTTCAGCGCCTCAGAAACCCGTCGGAACACCAGGAAGTGTGGCGCCGCGTTAGCAGAGATGGCGGAAACACAAACAGGACCTGCTTCTGATTTCAGATCTTTCACAAAAAAAAAAAAAAAAAACAATAAACCAGCAAAGGTCACGGAGCTTTTCTGCAGAAGTGTACAAATAAATTTAAAAATAAACAAAAACAGGTTTTCCAGAAGGCCTTTCCCTGGGCTTCATGATCGCTGTACAGACCGAACCTCATGATTTCACATTCTGACATCGTTTCAGGAGAAAACATGATTAAATGAATGTTTTAAACTCAGGTTTGATCGAACAGCCTGCAGATGACGAGGAAGAGCCGCTCAATCCCGCACGACAATAAAAAGACCATCTTTTGTTTTTGTCTTTTATTACTTAGTCTGACGCGTCGGCGTTCAGAGCAGCGACCCCTTCCACTCGCTGTAGAAAAATAAAAAGGACGTGAGTCGGAGGGAGAGGTGGGATCTACGGACTTCTGTGAGTGGCTCCTCTTCTCCGACAGCTAAACGTTAAGTGCTTTTCAGGTCCACGCCCTTTTAAATCCCTCCGAACTCATCCTGATTTAACTCACCGATTTTGTTTGCGGCTCTTTTATACTTAAACATTAAAGACAAATAAAGTAATCAGAGTAAATCCTGCGGGACGGTGACCCTGTGACCCTCATGTCTCTACAGGTGAAGGCGATCCTTTGGTACGATCGTATTTCCTCTGATGTCCTTTCAGGTTCAGACTCGTCTTCGCTGCCTGTAAGCGGCGGGGTTTACTCAGATCCAGCGTCCCCGCCTGAACTCCTCGTCTCCATGGAGACCGTAAAAAAGTATTAGAGGGGCAGCAGGGAGGTGCATAGTTTCCAAAAGCAAATTTAGAGGAAAAAAGACCAAAAAAAAAAGTCAATTCTAATTGAAATAACAAAACAAGTGGGACAGATTGAAGAATTCCCAAGCGGACGTGCCGTCACCAACACCCTGCCGTGATGTCCAGGTCTCCGCTGGAGCAGCGTTCCAACATTCCCAAACCGGACTCGGCTCCACTGGATCAGGTTAGTGTGTTTAGGTCAGTGTGTGTGTGTGGATCAGTGTGTGTTATTTGCCCCGCAGAAGCTCCAGCTGATCCTGGTACTCCGTGAAAAGTCTCTGGAATCGCAGGTTTTCCCCGACGACGGGTAAAACTTCCCGTAGCAGCTCCCGTTTGTGCAGCCCCTGAACACACGGGACAGAAAACGGATCAGATCAGCGACACAAGCCAAACGTGAATTATTTGTGTTTGAGAGAGAAAACAGAACCAGAACCTGGAGAACCAGCTGGTTAGATGAAAAAGTCATAAAAACGACGCTTTTAGTTTATCAGAAAGGATGAAAGAATTAATTTGTGAGTTATAATAAAAATATGTTTTTTAATGGATTCTCGCACTTTTGCCCAAATCATTTTCAAGCACTTTCAACGTGAGTTTTTAAGATTTTCCACGTAGGGAGCCCAAGGAAATAGGGTTGTCACGGTGTGAAGATTTAACCTCACGGTTATTGTGACCAAAATTATCACGGTTTTCGGTATTATCGCGGTATTTTTTTAAACGTGTTACATTTTCAGACAACTAAATAAACCCTGTATACCAGGAAAATATTGTCCTCAGTTTGTGTCTGCAGTTTGCCTAAAATGTGTTATTTTGTAATTATGTTGTTTATTTGTTTACATTTATTCCCTTTAGTCTTTAAAATACCAATATTTGCCCATAACTTCTTATTTTTTGTCTGTTTGATGTCATCATTTTAAAAATATTAGATCAGATGATACTCAGTACTCAAGTAGCCTTCTAATCAGATACTTTTTTACCCTTACTTGAGTAATAAACCCTATATCAGGAAAGTATTGTCCTCGGTTTGTGTCCTTCCAGTGAGCTTTGCAGATGTGGGAAAATGTCATCAGGCAGTAATCGTTGTTAAATTCATAATTATTCTCGGAGAGAGACCAACTCTTATCGGCCCCTGGGAGCCCCGTAATGCATAGCGTCATTTCAACATGGCGGTGTCCGCGACACGGTTTATATGCAGGTAGCGGCGCTGCGGCTGCTTTATATAGCGACTCGTTGCATTCTCCCTCAACCCAAATCCTCGGATCACGCATTTTAGCTAAAACGCTAACGTTAGCTTGCCTTGCGTTGACTGTAGAGTTGTGGGTGATGGTCACGCAGATGTGTCATGAGATTTGAAGCGTTGCTGCCTTTCACAGACACTTTTTCTGCACGTGCTGCAAACAGGATAGCCGTCTTCTATCAGCTGTCCCTCGACATTCTTCATATATCCAAAACATGCCCGTACTTCCCACTTTGTCTTCTTTGAGGGATAATAAATGTCCTGAGCGCTGCCGTCTCCTCCTTTGGCCATTATTTCAGCTTTAGCTTCAAGAACGTTTTGGTTGTAAACAACAAAGTGCGCATGTGCCGCCGGCAACTTCAGCAGATGATACGGTGGCTGGTAAGGGTCACCGCGCCTACACCGCAGCCACGGTAACCCACCGAGATAATATATATATATAAAAAAAAAGACGGTTATTATTATTGTCAACTTTTTTTACCGGGGTTTACCGCTACATCGGTTACCGTGACAACCCTACAAGTCACGGCCACCTACTACCGGACCACGGTCCCCGGAAGAATGAAAAAACTAATGCAAGTCATTGAGGCTAAAAACGCTACTTTAAAGAGCAAGTCACCCCCTAACAGATTCTTACTCAACTCCCACTTCCTGTTTGAAAAATTCAACAAACACTGTTGCCTAGCAGACCGAGAGGGTGGAGCCACTAACAAATACACACACTCACTACATTGTGACATCATAATGTACCATGTAACATCACAGTGTACCTCTTAGCCAATAGCGGCGGAAGATTTAAATTCAAATGCAGTGCAGAGTTTTTACCTGACGACGGCACAACACTGACAGTTTTAGGCAGAAAATTTAAATTTTAACTAAGATGCACTAAAGTGCCGAATTAGTGACTACACGTGTCTGCAGCACGATCAGACACTCATTTATATAGTTCATCAGCAAAAAAAAATGTTGATTTGGAGTGACTTGCTCTTTAAAATTCACGGACATCACCTGTGAAATCCGTGACATGAAAACAAAATTAGAAAGTTGCATTTTGATGCCAAGAAAGCGCTTATTTTCCAACGTGGGGAAAACGTTATTTTAGATTTCGTGTGAAAATACGTCCCGGACTACAAACGTGAACCCCAAAGTGAAAAGAATAAGTGCCCCTTTAAAAAGGTGAGGGGGAAGAGGCCCTCTGCCTGTTGTTGTTTTTTTTTTATCCCCAGTAAATTGGGAATTTGACGGCTTCACGCTCTTTAAAAAGCTCAACTCCAAAATTCGACCAGCTGTAAGAATCCAGAGCGACCCGTTGACCCATGCTAGCCCAAAAATGTTTAAAAAAAATCTGTAAACTTGTGATGGCAAAATAAAAAATAATCAGGAATTTTATTTGTTATCAGATTTGGAATTTTTTTCCTTCTAGATGGTGATTTTTATAGACCTTTAATGGGACTTAATACATACAGACCATAGAAAGTACTAGGCTGTGGAGGAAAATAAATAAATAAACAAACAAACGAATAAATAAAAAAATAAAATACAAAAGGGGGCGATGTTGATTATTTTTGGCTTCTATTAACATGTTTTTTGTTTCTCTTTTAAGGGAGGGGGTGTTATGGTCACCAGTTTCTACATGCTCCTGTTCCTGCTCCACCTCCCTGCAGAGAGGACCTCAAAGTTAAAAACAAAAATGATTCAGGAATCAGCCAAACGTGGCATCGGCAGGTCAGAGCTGTGCAGGAACTGGAAATCTGTATCGGCCCTGAAAACCAGGATCGGTGCATTTCCAGCTTCTGATCCTGGAGGTTTAAATCCCAAACAGCTTTCACCTTACCAACCCAGGCTTTCCGAGTGGCCGTGCACAGTTTAATAAACCAAACTATAGTTTAGAAACGTAAAACAAAAACAGACCATTTGACTTCTCACTTGGCTCTTACTGGGCTCCACATGGCCTTTCAGAAAACATCCAAACACCCAACAAATGCATGAAAATTTTAAAACAAGAAATTATTGAATAATTAACACTTTTCACATAACATTTCATGACCGAAAGCTTTAAAAACGACCGGCCGGTGGCCGATGTTCACCAATCCCTGATCAAACAATCTAAAACTCAAAAATCTTATTTCTTTTCTACCCGTGAACGCACCATCACATGATTCATGTAAGCAATAACTAATTTTCCATGTGAAGCTTTTACTTACTGAATAATACAGGGTATCTGCAGGTTGAAGGGAGCCAAATTTAAGACTTTTTAAGACCTTTTTTAAGGCCACTTTGACCAAATTTAAGCTATTTTTTAAAATTTCATTTAAGCTATAATTTCCAGCTATTGCCTGGAACCGGTGCTAACCACGTCGCGATCGTGGGATTAGCCATCCAGTTACCATTAATGTTGCACTTCTCCATGGCATAAGCTCCCACTAGCTTAACCAGCTAATGTGCTCATCTAAAAATAGCCCCCTTTCACAACCAACTGAATGTGTACGGTTCCGCTTACGGCAACATCACACACAAAAACGCTGAACACTAACTACAAATTCACGAAAATTTTATAGCAATAAAAAAATCTTGTTTATTGGGTCTTTGGTCATTTAAGACCTTTGGAAACTGCATTTAAGGATTATTTGTCATTTTTAAGGATTTTTAAGGCCTTAAATTTGGAAAAGCTAATTTAAGACTTTTTAAGACTTTTTAAGGACCCGCGGATACCCTGATAATAAGTTTTAGGGTTAGGAACTCATTTTTAATGAGTGCTTTGAGCAAAAAACCAGAAGCAGAATCGGTGCAGCTCGAATTCTCTGAGGTGGAATAAGCTTACCAGAGTCGTTGCCTCCCAGGACGTAGCAGCTGATTTGTGGACGGGACCCAGAAGCTCCTTGCAGAGTTCTCGAAGACGATACTCGGAGCCTAAAAGGAAACAAACGTTTTGTGTTTTTAGTTTGGCGCCGCCATCGGCGCTTGACTCAGACGACAGCTCCGTACCTTCGTTTACGAGGAACCGGGCGTAAGTGAGCAGCCAGTAGCGGTACTCCTGTGACGACTGCAGAGTCAGAGCGGACGCCAGCTGGTTCTCCAGGAAGGCGAGCGTCATGCTCTGCTGCAGGTGGTGGGGCGTGGACGAGAGGCGGGACGCCAGCCGGCCGGCGCTGTGGACAGGAAAGAGGTTCTGGGTGTTTTTTGCTTTATCTGGAGGAGGAAGCTGCAGCTGAGGGGACGAACAGCTAAAATCATACTTGATGTTGCGACCCTGAATGGCAGCCAGCGGCCCTGATGACACAGGTGCATCATGGGAAGGAAGGCAGCCCCTGAAGTCCGCACACTGGACTAAAGAGTCCCCTCTGTCTGCTATCAGAGTCCTGAGAGAGAGATGAGGAGGAAAATTCAACCTGGTTGGGTTTAAAGGGGCATTATGGAAGTGTGACAGCCAAAACATGTATAGAAATAATAAATGTCTTCTTCATACATTCTCCTGCAATGCCCTGGTCCTGTAGAATGAGCCCTGGCATTTTTACTGTGATTGCCTGTTTTTGTGTAAAATCACAGAAAAAGAGAGATGCTCGGGTCGAGCAGGCTGCTTCATGCGCGTTCACGCTCAGGCATCGCCCGTAGCATTTGCTATCCGTAGCTTTAGCAGCAGAGAGAGAGGCAGTGCCACTTTGTCGCTGTTCCTAACGCCTAGTGACAAAGCTAGCTACATTTCTGAGGACCCTTAGCTACTTTCTGTAGAACTTTCTTCTAGATATTTCCTGCTAATTAGCAACAAAATAACCATTTTCACTCCGAACCGTTCTTTGGTTTGACGTTGTTTAAGCTGTCATCAAGGATATAAATCATCACTGGCGCTTTAGCACGCCTAGTAAGACGTCGGACTCTCATGCGGAAGACCTGGGTTTGACTCCAGGTGTGAACATAGTGCATTTAGAGTTTATTTATTACATTAATGGTATATTTTTTACAGTAAGATGCCCAAATTTTTATTCGAGACTCGCCGAACGGCATTGAATTCACAGATAAAAAAGATGTGGGTTCAACTTTCATTTTGGAACAATTTTTCAAGCAAGGGAAGGGAATGATCTGAGCATGCAGGAGGACTGACCCATCATAAACCTTTGTCGGCTGTGCTGAAGAGAAAGGTACAGAACCGCATTATTTAATTAATTAGCTGCGCGTTCTCCTGTCCTCTGTCCCACACACACACACACACACACACACACACACACACACACACACACACACACACACACACACACACACACACACACACACACACACACACACACACACACACACACACAAGGGACTGTCTCAGCTGTTATTTTCGTTAAGGAGTGTGCACGTACAGCATGCGCGCCTCGTGCACGAGCCTACTATTGAAGCTGCCGTTACGCTTTTGGCCTGAGGGGGCGATCACGAGCATAAAAATTCAAAACTCTGTAAAATCCCTTTAAAGAAACTGGATTTTCGGTTTCTCACCATGTTTCCAACGATGAGCTGAAGCAGAACGTTTTCCCGTTGGACAGACCGATGACCGGGACGCCCTGCTGAGTCAGCATTGACTGGGAGACTGTGGTGTCAGCACCTGGACACACACACACACACACATTGATGACCATCTCCAGCTCTTTTCTTTTGACAGGAAGTAGAGACTCCAGGTGATTTAGTTCCTCACCAGACAAAACGGTCAGCAGAGACTCGTTCTTCACCAGGGCCTTCTGTTTATGAACGTCCCTGCATGCAAACACAAAATATCAGCTTGCAAATCAAACATCAAGAATCCTGTAACCTCCTCCAGCCAACGACTGAAACTCCATTAATCATAAACTTTGCTAATTTTCCGTAGAACAAACACATTTATGCTGCTTGTGTTCACTTCTGTTATTTCACTGATGTTTTCCGTAAGTTCAGCCACGTTTCCGACTCGATAAACGAGCACCAACCAGACAGAAAGGCCCGCTCCGGCAGTCAGAGCCATGACAAAGTGGGCGGAGCAATGCAGGGCAGAGATGGGCGTGGTCAGCTGGATGGCTGGGAGGAGCCTCCGCCCACAGCAGGAGAACACCGACAACATCCTGTCCTCACAGGCGACGGCAAGAACGTCACTGGCGGAGAAGAAGAGGATTTGTTTACTTTGCTGAAATGTCGAGTCTGGACTTCAAAGACGACGAAAAAAATCGCTGATTCAGCAAAATCTGACGATTAAACGTCAGAATTCCACGTTTTAACTCATCAGAACCTCGCTGAGGCGCGGCCTTCTACCTGCTTCCTGCCGCGGTGACCACTGAGCTGGGCAGCAGGGTGTTCCAGTTCCGTCCATCTTTGGAGCAACGCAGCTGGCTGAGCTTTGAACCGGCAACCATCGACACCTCGTTCTCCACCTCCAGGAACACCGCCGGCTCCATGCTCACCTGCACAAAAAATACATAAATAAAGAAATAAATAAATTAATTAATTAAAACACAGTTAAATCAACTAATTAAATAAAATAAAACTAAAATAAATACAATCAAATTAAATTATAAATTTAAATAAAATAAATTTAAATAAAATACAATAAAATTCAACAAAACACCTTTCAACTCACAGAAAATCTCCTGGATACGTTTCGTTAGAGGACGGAGATGTGTGTGTGTGTGTGTGTGTGCGTGCGCGCTCACCTGCAGGCTGAAGGCCTTCTGGGTACTCGGCGTTGGGAGTTTCAGAACAGCGACAGGAGCTGGAGGAGCTGCCACCCTGCTGGAGTCCCGCTCAGGTGGAGTCGTCACCTGAGGTGATGAAGCACAGAACCTCCTTTACTCTGAGGCTTCGCTGGCGTGATGAAGCGCGTCTGTTTCTACCTGGAGGAAGGGCTGAGAGATGGGAGTGGCCATCTTGTCTTTCCTCGGCCGTCCCTTCTTCTTTTTCTCCACCACCTCTCCTCCGTCCATCAGCAGCTCGGGTTTTCTCTTCCCGAACGCCAGGTTCTTGTTGACGGCGCCGATCTTGTCCTCGCTGTCGCTGCTTGTATCTTCTTTGGTTTTGAGGTCCTTCGGGACAGAGACGGTGTCCTTTGGTCTGCTGCGTGAAAAGTAAAAAGACAGTAGTCTCCATTTTTACGCGTATCACAGTTTCCCAACAGTCACTCGGAGTCAATCACCTGTCCAAAGGTGTGAGTCCAGCTGTGGAGGCGATGGCCGACGTAACCCCCGGAGTGGCCTTTGACCTCTCTGTGAACCGTGAGTCCAAAGCTTTCATCGGCTCGATCTTGGACGCAGACGTGAGAAGCAGACTGGGCTTCATGCTGAAAGCGCAGAGAAGGACGTGAGTGGACGGTAAACGTTTACGATGTCCCCTCAGATGTCCACGTACCCGTCGCTGTTGTCCTCCAGGGCTTTGCCGACGCTGTTGGGAGGAGGCGAGGTGAGGACGCCGTCCTGGTGGGTCTTGAGGCCCAGAGAGGACGGCTGTCCCGGGCTGGAGTCGGAGTTCAGCTGCGGGGGGAGCTGGTTGGACATCGAGGAGCCGGAAGGGAGGATGGGAGCGCTGTTGAACAGAGCCAG